TTCTCCAGGAAAAAAAAATCTGGTGCTTTTTCTTCACCATTGAAAAAACTGTGCTTGTTCATTAGGCGTAAAGGGTTAAGAATACTTGCACGGAGGCTGGGAACATTTGCAGAAGAGGAGCTAGGGCCCCGCCACAGGTGGTAGGCGAGGGCTGCAGGGCCCAAGGGGGTCCCGGCAAGTGGAGGAGCCCCATGGCCCAATCCTCTGTCCGCACAGGCCAGGCTGTGGTGTTGGTTTTGAGATGGGTGTCCTCGGTGGACCCACTGCGGCCAGGGCTGCGCTGTGGCTAGGAGGCCCAACTTGATCCTGGGGCAGCTCTTGCCCCAGAAGGCACTCATGCGTCTCAGTCAAGAAAGGGTCTGAGTCCCTTGAGTTGAGCAGAAGGAGGAGGACAAGGGGTCTCCTCCTGGAGGTGGTGGGTGTGAGATGCTGATGCCTGAGCCTGCCTCTTCTCCACTTTTCCTGGCTCCTGGACCAAGGGGGAAGGGGCCTCAAGGGAGCAGAAGCCCAGACACCCTGTCCTCCCTTGTTGGCCAGACAGCTGCCCCGATAAAGGAGCTCGGAGGTGCCTGGGACCCTGTCACCTCCTGTGCCCACCTGCAGGGTAAGAGGGCCCCAAGGAGATGAGGGGACAGAGGCTTTAGGCTCTATCCCCAAAGCTAGTGCTGACCTTTTCCCTCCAGGTGATCCCCACCCACCCCAGGCAATGCCTAAAGTTAGCCTGGGGCACTCGGGAGCCTGCAGACAACTGGGAGGAGGAGGAGACTACATCCCACTCTCAGCCCCTGAAACAGACATCGGTGCCCACAGCAAGTCATTCCAACAGCTCAGTTGGCACACAGCTCTAATGACTTGAATGATGTATTAATGTCAGGGAGGATCAGAGAATGTGAGTGTTGGAAGGAAATTTAGCAAGCATCTAATCCAACCTCCTCGTGTGGCAGCAGAGGAAACTGAGGCCCAGAGAGAGGAAGGCCGGTTTCTAGCACTACCCACTTTGTCAGTGAAGAGCCAAGACGGAACCCAGGACTCCAGCTCTCACTCCATCTGGCCTTCCCACTGACTCCCTCTACCTACTGGCCTTTCAAACTGGCCTTAGAGAGAACAAGAGCCCAAGACTATGAGGGGAGTGACCTTCCCTAGACCAACCTGGCTACCTGGGGGTCAAAGCAGGGTGGGGAGAATTCCCAACTTCCAGGGGCAACTAGTAACTAGCTTTCCCCAAAATTCTGCCTCGGAAGTACTTTCCACTTTGTCGGGGTCTCCACCTTTAGCCCTAGAGACACTGTTCACACACTGGAATCAGTGAAGGGGACAAGGTCATGCTCATTGCCATTAACCCAGAATCAGACTATTCACCATTTTTGCACTATTCTTTGTGTCTTAGCTCCTCAGCTACAGTGTAAGCTCCCAGAGGAGCTCATCATCTTCTTTGCTATCGCCTGTCCCAACACCTGCACTGGCAGACACTCAGGAAAGATGGCTTAGCCTGAGGAACATCCTTGTCAACCTCCCACCAGAAGCCACCTCCCCCACTCTGCCTGTAGGTGTCCATAGTAGCCATCCCTCCACCTGACAGTTCCCATTGTGCTAAAAGGTTCCACCTCAAGCCAAAATCTGCCTCCCAGTCATTTTTACCCATTGGTCCTGGTTTTACCCTTTGTAGCAGCAATGCAGACTCAATTTCCTTAACCTTATGGAATTCCTTCATATATGTGATAAATATCCTGGACCCCCTAGTCTTCTCTTATTGATATAAGGGCATTGAGGCTTGGGTGGGGGTGGGCCTTTGAGGGCAGTGCAAATGAGGGGGAGGAGGAGGGGAGGGGTAAAGGAAGAGGGCAGAATCCCAGCTGAGCTGGGGGTTTCCTCTTATAGATAAAGTTGGGTTGGGATTGGTGTATTTGGTGGAATTTGGTAGATTTTCCCATCTCCATCCCTCTGTTCTCCCATGTCTCTGCTCTCCTTGAGGTTCAGAAAAACTGCGGGGTGGTGGAGAAAGACACACGATATGGTGTCACCTGGAACTTCAGGTCTGCCTCTCCTACCGCCCCCATCCCTACACCCCAAGGAGGTTCCCAAGAGAGAGCGTCAATGTGTGGGCAGATAGTATTAATCCTCACAACAGCTAGGTGAGGTAGAGAAGTGGAAATGGAGATGCACTGTTGTTCTCCCCACTCTAAGGAGAAGGAAACTGAGGCACAGAGAAAGAAAGGGGCTTACCCAACATTATCAAAGAGTCAGAGAAAGAGCCAGAGGCTAGGGACACAGTGCCTCCCAAACCCAGCCAGCAGGGTTTCAGCCCAGGGCTTTCTCCAAGGGTCCCCATCAAGATTTGAGCCATCCCAAAGGAAGTTCAAAGTCCTCCTCAAGGTCCACAGTATTTGGCCTCAGCCCTTGAGTGCTAGCTGAGAGCACTTTGGCCAGGACCAAGTATCCATCACCTATGCTATCTTAGCTTCATCATCTGGTTAATTTTTTGCATAGGGAGGCAGTGGCCAAATTGCCTCTTTGTGACAGGGCATACGCAGGCTGAAAGGAGGAAGTTGGCCTGATCAGGGGTATCCTGGCTCTGAGGAACCTGGTGGCTACTTTAGTTGAAGGCTGGCCCCTCCCTGGTTCAGTGTGGAACCGGGGGGATGGCTGGAGCTCAGTGGATGGGCTCTGGAGCTGGGGATCCCTCCTTCAAGAGAGAATTCTTCTCTTACCTACTCAACCTCTGCCTTCCCAACCCCGGCTGAGCCCCTCAAAGGCCCATCTAAGACCCCCATCTGCTCCTTCTCCAGTCCTCCCCGTTCCCAGATGGCCCCTTCCATGCTCCATGCATTGTAAACATGAGAAAAAAACAAAGCAAAGGGAAAAACCAAAATGGAAAACAAAGCAAGGACACCCCCATCCCCCTCCCTGCTTCCCAACCTGGGTGAAAAAAATTATCCTTTTTTCATCGTAAACAGGATTTGGCTTTTTTTTTTCTTTTCATTTCTGATTCCTTTTCCCATTTCTCTCTTAAAGATGGGAAGATTTGGGCTGTCGTTGGTTGCTTCGGTCAGGCACCAAAACAAGAAACTCAATGAGAAATATTTGGTGCGAATTCGGTAATAGCGACATGTCCACCACAAGATGACTAGAGCACCACACACAACATTTTTCTTAAGCTAACATGCTCTGGCTGCCATCCACAGAAATAGCTAGAGACCCCTACATGGTTTCTACGTGGTCGAGAGGTATATATACAATCCTTCAAAGGGCAGGATTGAGGGGCCAGTCTATCAGCTAGGACCTTCAGGATCACGTCCAGATTCTCAGCAGCATGGGCCCCCCCTTCCCACCCCTGCTCTGGGCACGGCCAGCTCCCTCCCTCCCGCGCAGCGAGGCAGATGGGGACAGTCACCATTCTGGATGGGTGGGTCCTCCCCGACCCTTCCTTTCCCTCGGACACGGATACCACCAACTCCTCTTTCCACAAAATGTGCTTGCAGGCTTTTCCTCTACGTCAAATGGCTCAGAAGGCAAAGTTTGGCTGCAAGGGCTATGGCCGTGGGGGGACCTGGTGAAGGAAAATGGGGCATCCACTGGCTAATTCCTTCCTCAGCTGTCAGCTCCCAGTTGTGTCTCAATGTCCACCCGGCAGATGGGGCATTTCTTGCTCATGGCGAGCCACTGGTCCACACAGAGTTGGTGAAAAAGGTGCATACAGGGTAGGCGCCTGGAAGAGAGGGGGAGAGTCAGAGGAATGGCTGAGGGGAAGAACCCCAAGGCTGTGCCAGGAGTTGAGGGATAACGGCTACTCAAGGGACCAGGAGACTCACACCCAGGGCTACTAGGGAACAGGCCAAAGAGGGTCATGGGAGCTCTGCCATGGAGTGAGGCTGTGGCTGGGATGGGAAATCACGACAGGAAGGAGAACCCCCAAATTCTCCTTCTGCATGCAGCCTTTCAGTGTAGCCTGAAACAAAGCCATGGCTTTGTCTTAGACCCACCCAGGCCGAATATCAGGCTGTTCTCTGAAACTTCGCATCTATAAGTCCATACCCATAGGCACCACACATCTAGAATGTTCCACACCCCATCATCCTAGAACAACCATGAAACACACTTGGCACACGTGCGCGCATACACACACACACACACACACACACACACACACACACTCACTCACACTCGCACACACAAGCAAGCTCCACCCGACACACAGCACATGACTGATCACCAATACCCACGAGGAAAAGGAGATGGAATCCAAGAGGCTGGCCTCCTACCTCACATCTTCTCCATCCTCCAGCATAGACAGACAAATTGTGCATTTCTCGTCAGTGTCTGACTCCTCTCCCTCTTCCTTCTTGCCCTTGCCATTCTGGGGTCTTCTCTAGGAGAAACAAAGGAGGAGCATGTTACCGAGAGCGACTCACCTGGTGGTCTTGGCCCTTGCAGGCTCTTCCCCCACCTCCCTCCTCCAGTGAGGCAATCTCTTTGTAAGCTCCTAAGTTATACCCAGACTTCTATGCTCTTCCCAGGCCCTTCTCCCTGCCTAATCTCCACCCCTCCTCCTTGCTGCAGAATATAGAGGGTTAAAGCCAAATGAACTTTATTATTGTTGTTCCAGACAATTCATGTCCCAGGCATAAACTTTACACTGCCCTAGGAGCATAGAGTTTGGAAAGGAATTGGATACCAATGAATCAATCCTTTGCAAAATGTTGGCTGTGCATAAACAGCTTCACCTTTTCTGCTTTCCCTTATCCTGTTTACTCCTCCTTACACCCTTTCCAACCTAGATCCCTGTCTCCAGCCTTCTCCTCCACTTTCAGGTCCAGCATGCTTTGTTCATCCATCCATCCATGCATTCATTCATCTAATTTTCCTTCCTTCCTCCCTCCCTCCCTCCCTCACTCACTCTTCCCCCTCCTTTCCTCCCTCCCATCCTTCTTTCCTTCCTTCCTTCCTTCCTTCCTTCCTTCCTTCCTTCCTTCCTTCCTTCCTTCCTTCCTCCCTCTCTCCCTTCCTTCCTTTCTTCCTTCCTTCCTTTCTTCCTTCCTTTATTCCTTCTCCTTACAAATGTCTATTGTGAGGAGCTGAAGATGGGCTCTGGCTTGACCACAATGAGTATGTTCCTGCTCTAAGATTCTCAGTGCTTATCAAGCTTTTCATTCTTAGATTTTTAAATTTTTATTTATTTGTCATCATATCAGACTATATTTTTAGAGCAGTTTTAATTTACATAAAAATTGAACAGAAAACATAGTGTGCTCCCATTTCCCTCTGCCTCTCAACATATGCAGTTTGCCCTATTATTCGCATCTCGCCTTAGTGTGATGCATTTGTTGCAACTGATGAACCAATAGTGATAACACTACTATTAACTGAAGTCTTCTGGTTTACATTAGGGTTTACTCTTTGTGTTAAACAGCCCTTCGTGTTTTGACAAATGCATATTGTCATGTGTCCACCATTACATACAAAATAGTGTCACTGCCTTAAAAATCCCCTGTGAATCACCTATTCATTCTTCCCTCCCTCTCCTGAGGCCCCTGGCAATAACTGATCTTTTTATTGTCTTTAGTTTTGCCTTTTCCGGAATGGTATGTAGTTGGAATCATACAGTATGCAGCCTTTTTATGCTGGCTTCTTCCACTTTGTAATATGCATTTCCAGTCCTTCATGTCTTTTTATGGCTTAATAGTTCATTTCTTGTTATCATGAAATAATATTTCATTGTATGAATGAACCACAGTTTGTCCATTCACTTATTGAGGGACATCTTAGTTGCTTTTAAATTTTTTAATTTAATCTAAAAATTTTTAAACTTAAATTCCTGGCTTCTAATCCTACCTCAGATTCCTGGCAACAATTCTGGAGAATCTACCTCTGTAGGCTTAGGGTAGAGCCTGTGAATATGTGGCTTTAAAAGCTCCCCAGATGATCTTGATGCTCAATGAGAATTGGAAATGCTGCTCTGAAGTCTTAGTTGCCCATTTGTCTACATGTGAGACTGGAGTTGGGATTCTTTTCTAAGGCAAGTCTTAGCCTTCTGTGTAGGCACTCCCCTTGCTCACCCCACTCAGATACTAACATTCATTTCCCTGTACACCTTCCTAATATACCAACTCACAAGTCCACATGCACACACATAGCCAGCCTCCTCCCTTATTAATGAGAGGCCACCATATCCCCTCCTAGTTACACCTGACAGAGGCAAAGGAGAAAACCTGGGAAGGTATTGCTGCTTCAGAGCATCTAATCAGAGCAAAGGCTTCTAGATTTTGGACTGTGCCCCTCTGTAGACAATCAGGTCAAAGTCAACCTATATCCTCCCCACCTTCATCCCTATTATACATGCTGGCCTGCTGGCTGACTCACCTTCTTGTACTTGTGGGGGAAGGTGAACCTCTCAATGGTGTTCTGTACAGCTCCTCGAGTCACATTTCCCAACCTGTCCTCAAGCTGCAGCAGCTCCTGCAAAGAGAAAAATGTGGACGTGTGCACTCATGTGCAAAGGCACACATACACATGTGATGAGAAGGAGAGGCACTGACAGATGTTAGCAGGAAGCATTCACACAGCCATTCAGAAGAACTTGTCTGAAAGAACAAAATATCTCTACTTGCTCTCATTTTCTTTCTCTTCCTCTCAACCCAAGGCTCCTCCTGCCCCACTCACTCCCTACCCACCAGCAGGGGAAAAGGAGAGAGGACACGATAAATGGCAGTGATGAATGATAATAGCTTCTCCACCAACCCCACTGGAGCCAAGCTGGCCAGAGGATTCCCAGACAGAGGGGCAAGCATACCTCATAGCTCTCCCGCACAGCAGAGATGTGTCTGCTGGGGTTCAGTCCCTGGAGAGCAAGGAAGTGAAGCTGAGGGTAAGGGTAGTTTCGGATTTCATGGACAACCTGTCGGGGAGAAAATGCCTCAGATAGGATTCAAGCCTTCATGATCCCAGCGTCCGACTCCTCCTCCCATAGCCGCCAATCTGCATACCCTGAGAAACTATGGGCAGAAGTGTCCTTTTTCCTGCTCCTGGTCTCCCTCACCCCCGAAAGAACCAAGCCTATGGTGGGCCAGCCCCAGAATGAATAATAAAATCAATAGGTAACACCTGGCCTGATGGGGCATTTATTTCATGCAGGTACTGTTCTAAGCCCTTCAGATAGTTAACTGATTTAATGATCTCATCGGATTTGTAATAAGGATGCAATTACTATCCCCATTTTACTGATAGGGTAAATGAGACACGGGCACATTTAGTAAGTGGCCCAACTTATGCAACCAAGCGGCAGAACCACCATTTCAAACCCAGGCAGTTGTGGGGAAGTGGGGGCAGAGTCAATTCCTTCCCCCTTGACTCCACATTGTCTGACCCAGGTGGGGCAAGTGAGGGCACAACATTTAAGGGGGCACTGTGATCGAGACAAATAATATTTTATTGCAACATTTTTTTAAAAAATCAAAATTAATATAAAATATCTGTAATGAACAAAATGTCAAATTTTTCAATACAGAGAGGATCTGCCCCTGTACTTGTTTCGTGCTGCCTCACTCACCTCGCCCCGACCCGGTGTGAGTCAGAGGGCCAGGTGTCCAGCATACTAGTAGCTCCTCGTCTTAGTCACTGCATGGCCCTGGCCTGCTACTTAACCTCTCCATGCCTCAGTTTGCTAATCTGTAAAATAGGGATATTACCTCTTCTTGTGGAGTTATCGAGAGGCTTAAATAATTCATTTAAATTACTTAGAACAGTGCCTGGTATGCAGTAAGTGCTCAATAAGCGTTAGCTTTTATTCTCAGTAGATGGTGCTTTATAACAGGAACCATAGGACCTCAGGGCTGAAAGACTGCTGAGATTACTGGCCCACGCCCCTCATTTTACAGATAAGGAGACTGAGGTGCTGAGTGGTTAAAGGCAGAGGCAAGGACTGGCAGGCTGGAATTGTGCTTCGGGGCAGCAACCTGAAGAAGCTGCCTGGGATCAAGAAGATTTTCAGTCTTTTGCTACATTATTATTGTTGTTGTTAGTTTAATGAAACATCTTCACCTTCATTCCGTGCAGCTTGCAATGCCCCCAAACGGAACCTGATCCTTTTGCAGACTCAGCACCCTGCAGTGAAGAGAAGCCCAGCCCCTGCAGGAAGCTGACTGGATCAGCAGCCAGGCCACCCCTTGGGTCTCTTATGTTCCTCACACCAGTCCTGTGAGATGGGCCAGGCAGGTGTCTGCATCCCATTTCACAGATAAGTGAACTAACACCCAGGCAGGCACTGACGCTGAGAAATGAACTAAGCGCAGTCATACAGGGTCCAGAGCCCACCCTGCTTGCTCTTAGCCCTGAGCCTTTCCCCACACCTGCAACTACCCCCTTCCACCCTCCATTGCCTGCCCAGTCCTTTCAGCAGTACGAGCTTCTAGTGCAACAGGTGCTCTCAAGCCAGAGAGGGAGTAAGAGTTGGGAGGGGAGGGGAGCAGTTGGCCTGCCTGGGAGCGAGACACACAGAGGAACAGGGCACAGGGAGTAGGACACAAGGGAGCTGCAGGCCTCAGCCCACCATGTCCCCCAACAGGCAACAGGAGTCTGTTCCTGGCAGAGCCCCCTCACTCACCATCTGCGTGGAGGAGGAGTTTCTGGGAAAGTGGTGCATTCGAGGTGTCGCTAGGTAATGCTGATAGTGCTGAAGGATGGGCCGCACCTGGAACTGAGCAGGGCTCAAGCTGGCGTCCACACTGAGATCCCTGCGGGGACACAGCCACAGTGAGCCATGGGGGCGCGGGGGTGTACTCAGCCATGGGGTGACAGAAGGGACCTCAGACATCAAGCCCATGGTGGAGAACCAGAGTCACAAACAGCCAGAGCTGCAAGAAGCTGGACCTCAGTCACCCGTCCCCTCTCTTTACAGACGGAAATGAGACTCAGAGAAGTACGAGCTCTGCAAGGTCTGAAGGGGCTAGAACAGTCAAGACCTCATATAACCTTTTGAAACGAGTGCACCTAAG